GAAAAAAAAAAAAAAAAAAAGGGATGGGAAGTTGAAAAAAAAAAAGGTGGGGAGAAACGGCCGTGGATCTAGCCACGACCTCGGTCCAGATGCAAGTTTAGAGGCATCTGGACTATGATTCGACAGCAGACTAGTGGTTACAACAGTCTGCTTAAAAATGGCTAAGTACGGCCATTTGTACATTGCGTTTTGCTGTGGGTGAAGGCCAGATGCATTCCCAGTGACCGAAACTTGGTTCCCCTGGGGGAACATCAAGTTTCCTGGCCCTTGATTGCGATTTTGGTCAAGGGTCAAGCTCTATTCCGAGATTTGGCTGAGGGCAAAGCAGCTGCCCTCAGCCTTCAGCCAGCTATAAAAGCTAGCCTGCCACCCAGCAGCCTCACACTTGTGGCAATGCTGTTGGGGCATTCTACTTGAGTAGATGCTGGCTGGCTGGCTGCTGGTGTGATGAGGCGAAGTGTTAGAGGTCTGCAGGAGCACTTGGTGGAAGGAGGAGGCAGCCATAGCTAGAGGCTGGGAGCTTCTTGCCCCACCTTCTGTGCTGTGCTGCAGGCTGTGGGGAAGCCGTAGCCTTGAGGTTGCTGCTGGTTTTCTAGGGTGGTGAGGCGGAAGCCCTGCCGAATTCTTGCGGCGGCAGCACCTGTTTTCTTGGCGGTACGGCGAAAGCGCTGCCAAAATTGTGCGGCAGCAACGCTGGGCTTCTTGACGGTACGGCGGAACCGCTGCCGAAATTTTGCGGCGGCAGCGCTGGTTTTTTTGGCGGTACGGCGGAAGTGCTGCCGAAATTTTGCGGCGGCAGCGCTAGTTTTCTTGGCGGTACGACGGAAGCGCTGCCGAAATTTTGCGGCAGCAGCGCCGGTTTTCTCGGCGGTACGGCGAGGGCGCTGCCGAATTTTGTGGAGACAGTGTTTTGCACCGTGACGGGGCTACGAGAAGGGGAATTGGACGTTGCGGCAGGGACGGTACCGCCGAGGTGGAAGTGCATCTTGAAACAGTGGGGGTGTCGTGCCGCTAGGATGTGGCGGTCGTCTTGTAGAGGGCGTTGCGGCATGCGGCACCTGCAGGAATTGTCAAGGCTGTTGTTATTTTTTTTTGCGGCACGTTGAACGGCCGGGGTTTAAGTCTGGGGCCGCCAAGTATTGCGGCAGGCGTGTGGTGACCTGACTTGGTATTTGGCGGATTGAGGTGACGCTATATTTGGGAGGAAAGTGTCGTTGAGACTGTGTGGGATTTGAGAGGGGAGCACTTTGTTCAAACGGCGAGCTCACTTCTGGATTGGTGAGCGGCGTCTGGGTCGGTGGTTGGTCATGAAATATACCACTGTCTGTTCTTAGGTTACGTTGTGGCGACCCCCGGGATGGTCCAACGGTCATGAAATTATCCTTTTAAAGCACCAGTACACCACGCATCGGCCCGTGGGTGTCAGCACGAAACCGGCACCACTTCGGAGGCCGCCAATTTTTTTTTTTGAATGGCGCCCCACGCCGCGCGGCCCCTCCGAGTTGTGCTTGTGGAGGCAAAAAACTTTCTGCAAGGCTGGGGCCGTGTACTTGCAGTTTAAAGTCAAGGGACATGGTCATGAAATATACATTGTCTGTTCTTAGGTCACAGTGTGGCGACCCGAGGAATGGTCCAATGGTCATGAAACTATCCCTTTTAAGCACCAGTACACCGCACATCGGGCCGCAGGTGTCAGCACGAAACCCGCACCACTTCGGAGGCCGACATTTTTTTTTTCAACGGCGCCCGACGCCACGCGGCACCTCCGAGTTTTGCTTGCGGCGACAAAAAAACTTTCTGCCAGTGCAAGGGTGGGGCCGTGTACTTGCGGTTTAAAGTCAAGGGACATGGTCATGAAATATACCACTGTCTGTTTTTAGGTCACGGTGTGGTGACCCCAGGGATCTTCAGAGCCCTACTTTTACAAAGGGATGGGGCCCACAATACAGGACTCTAAGGCAGTGATGGTGGTCCAATGGCAGGGCACAATACAGGCAACAAAAGCGCACCTATTGTTCTTAGGTCGCGGTGTGGGGCGACCCCAGGGATGACTAAACCCTAAACCATTGACTCCGCCAGATGGAATGGGGGGAGGAGGTGTTGTGGACAACCAACCTTAGGCTAGTCCTTAGCCCATAATTGGGTTTCCAGTATCTTCGTTTTTCCTTCTTTCTTGGAGAAACTAAATGGGAGTCACCAAAATGAGTTATAATTGCAGTATGGCCCAAGATACAGTTTCAAATTGCAGTTTGGGCAATGTATACAACCCAGCTTTCTGGCCAGGAAGGGTGCCTGAAGTGCAATTGCAAACTGTACCTTGCCCCATATTATAACTTGTTTTTGTGACTCTAGTTTTTTTTTTTAAGCTCCAATCTATTCGTGGGGGGGGGTTCTGTGATCTTAGCGGGACTGTTGCATGATGACTTTGTATTTGTTTTCAAGAAGATATTGGACATGATGTTCATCAAAAGGCCATTGGACACAGCCTACGATATTTGCTGCTCTCAGCATGATGACTTGGGGGGGGGGGGGG